AAAAAAAAAAAAAAAAAGGAACAGCAGAAACCCAATTCTGCCTTGTAAGTTGAGGTAGACAGGTCTTAACTCAGAAACGCAGGCACTGGAGAATTCACAAAAGTTTGCCCTGGGCACCAGGCAAGCCAAATGAGGTACCCACAGAAATGTCCCCAGCCTGGGCTAAGCCTTTTGCCTTTCCTTGCTTGGCAAGTGGAAAATATACCCAGCTGGGCAGTGTGACATGGGGATACCAACAGACCTCCAATTCACATGACAGCGATATGGCCACAGGATGTCCCCCAACTTGTCCCTAGGGCTCAGCTTTGACATCTATCTGTACCATGGCCACGCTGGCCCTTACTTCATAGGTCATAAAAACAACAGCGCTCGGAGCAGACGCTGGAGTGTGCCTTCCAAGCACTTTCTCTGACCCCATCTCACAGATGAGGGAATGAGGACTGACGGAGACGCGGCACCTCACCCACGCCCAACAGTGGGTCCCTGGCTTCAGAGTGGGCTCCCTGCACTCTGCCAGGGGGTGCACCTGGATGAATGTACTGCTGATCTGAAAAAGGCTGTAAACCCAAGTAGGCTGCTGTCAGAACAACGGCACAGCACGTGATTTTGTTGTGAATTCTGATGCTTTTGTGCTGATATATTTAGAACCTTCTGGGGAAGATGAGATGGAAAAAAAAGATTGCTGATTAGATTCTGTTTTGATTTATGAAGGAAAAAATGCCTGCTACAGAAAAATAACTTCCGGCTGGATTTAGCCTCTGAAGGGTTCACAGGGAAGCAGATTTAGACAGGTTGGGTTGTCTCTCCCAGACTTCTAGGTCTGTGACCAAGCTAAGTTGGGTTATTCTCCTCTCAGGGCCTCCGTTTCCCTATCTGTGAGTTGGGAGAAGTCACTCTGCAGCTCCTCGTGGTGGCCCTGAAGGTTAAGTGGGACCACATAGGTAGGAGTACTGAATCTTAGTGTGTATAGCACTCGGAATATGAGTCTGGATATCCCTGGGCCTAGTTAACAAGTCTGGAGGACTTGGGGTATCGCTGGGGGGGGGGGGGACGGCACTTGGCTAGCATGCACCCAGGACCCTGGTTCAATCCCCAACACTAAAAAATCAAAACAGAACTGACTGGAGAAGGAACTCAATCAATGCTACCCCCCTTTACTGCTGTCTGAATTCCAGCTTCTCAGGGGTGTGTCTGTCCAGAGCTGCGCTGTCCCCACTCTTCCCAAGTTCGCCCTTGGGAGGAGTTCTGACTGGATTTCAGTTCCCCAAGCAGCCCCAAGACTCTCCTGGACACCTCTCTTGGTCTATCTGCCAGAAGTCCTCCTGGGCTGAGGGGGTCCCACTCCCCCTCTCTCTGGCCTGGTTTCTCAAGATCCAGATCACAGGGCCACCCTGGGCGTTCTCTTCATTTCCAATTCGTTCCCACCCCTACCTGCCCAGGTGCAAACCCCACCAGGGCTGACCGCCTAGCAAGAACTGTCCCCGGGCAGGTGTGCAGGACAAGGACAGCAAAAGGCGTCCTGGTTCACCACTCTGCTGCCAGGCAGGAGCTGGCCAGTCCGGTGTCAGATTCCCATAGGGCAGACCCTGGAGGGAGGAATCCAGCTGCCCCAGTAGGTTGAAAAGGGCTAGGGAGAAGGGGACAGAAGACCTTATCCTCCCCATCCCTTCCCCCAGGAAATTCAGGTACTGGGGCAGGGAGGGGCAGGAAGAAAGCGTCATGTCCCCAGATAGGGTGGGTTGACCAGGGCCATGCGTGGAATGTAGGGACTTTCATGCTAAAGCTGGAGCAGTTTTAGATCCCGCCAGCAGTGGGTTGTGGGACCCGGGACAAGTCCCACCAAACACGGGGACTGCCTCTTCTGTGACTTGGTAACTGGGCCGGCTCCGGGTCGAGGGGGTGCTCGACTCTGCCACCTGGGCGTGACCGGGAAGCAGGTGTGTGTGTGGGGGGGGATGGGGGCAGGCCGGCCAGGCGCGGGGACCCTGCTTGCGGGGAGCGGCCGGGGTCCTGCGGGACGCGACGGGACGGGACACGGGACGGGGCGGGGCGGCGCCAGCGCGCATGCCCGGGCCTGGCCGGCTCCTACCTGCAGGCCGTTGGGGTACGCGTCGCCCTCGGAGAGCGAGTCCACCAGGTCCTCCTCGTCCAGCGTGGCCCGCTTGTAGGTCGACATCTGCAAGGCCAAATGCAGCACGGACTCCCTCAGCGCC